TGTGCTTGGAAGATATTCTTGGTTGTACGAGATACGCGTGTTTTTTCCTGCCTCTGGATATGGGAAGAACAGTATTCTGATGTTGAACAGTGAAGGAGTGGTACTTTCTGAAACCCCTTCTGTACAGGGAAGGATTTTTTGCAAGACTGATTCCTCCTCTCCCACCTTGCAAGATGCAACAGTGTTATGAAAAAATCAAACACCATTGGAGGGATCCATACCTCTGTGTCTGCTGCCTTTACACAGACAATATGCTGGTAAGGCTTTCAAGCAGAGTAGAGAATGAGGTAGCTAAGAATATCCTGAGCTGAGACATACATGGTTTACATCAGGCCCATCTTTAAGCTGGTTTTTAGTGAAAGCTGTTAGGAGAACTTATATTGTGCTTGGCATGACATCATGGATTAAAGGTTTAGTTTTATTCTGTGTCAAATTTTTTTTCATTCTTTATTCTATTTTGCCACCTTTGGTCTTCCCTATTCTACAGCCTTTGGCTTTATCCGTATGGCTTTTTAAAGTAAATAACATTTTTTGGTATAAATCCAATGTCTATGCTAGCAAAGGGGCTGGCTTATTGTTCATTGTTTCCTTGATCTCCTGAAACAGAGGAATATTAAACTTCACCAAGGATCCACTAAGATATTGTATCCCTTTGTCTTTGTACTGATGAAACTGCATTTAGGATAGATGCTTTCTCAAAAAGCTGTTTTGATTTTTACATTTTGTACACGATGTTTGTCATCAAACAGTTCCAGGAGAGATATTTTGCAAAATGGAGCCTCCATCTCAGTTGAGCGTGCACTGGAAGGAGTTAAAGATTTAAAATATAGTCAGAGTGTAGAGCTGGCCTGGTCCTGCACCTGTGACTGATGTTGCCTTTTCTGGCTCTCAGTGCACCTGTGTGCTTCAATGGCCCTGACCAGCCTCATCTGGGGCTTCCACCCCACCCTCTGCCCACAGGTCTGGGACGACCATTTCAGATCAGCCTCTGCCTAAGTTGTGTGGCAGGTCATCCTCCAGCCCTGTCTCCTCATGCTGGAGCCCCCTAGACCTGGTTCAATGCAGGCTGTGCATGGGGCTACCGATGGACCCGTTTGCAGCACCCAGCTCTGCTTGTCAGCTCATCCCCTACGAGGTTGTGCTGTGATGGGTGAGGACACTGTCCTGCCAGGGTCACCCTTGGCTCCAGCTCACCCCTCCTTGCATGGCTGCCCTGTTCCTGCTGTTCCTCGACTGTGCCTCTACTTTTGTACAGCACTGGCATCAACGAACACCTGTCTAAGCATTGTAAAAATCTGTCTGTCGGACTACTACTTTCCAAGATACTGAGAGTGTTAGTGCCATGTTTTTGTTTTTCAGAGGGACCCTATTTCAACTTTTGATTTGAGGTTTCACTTTTGAATTGATATTCATATCAGATAATAGTGATGGCTTGCTTATATATGGTTAGATGGGCAGATAACTTGTATGTGCTTCTCCAAAGCCTTTTTTTTCCCTCTTTTTCTTTTTTTGTAGCTGTTTTCTGAGAAATGGTTGAGGGACTTAAGGTTTCTTGTGTATTTTATATGCCTGCAAAGTATGTACTTAAAAAAAAAAGGAATTCCACTTAGCACAATGTTTAAATTCCAAAGCTTACGCTCTAGCTAAGAACTTTGTTTAATTCGGCACACTTCTTAGAATGAACTTAATTCGCAAAGGGCAATTGATACACAAAGTTGAAGGATGGCAGTGGGAAGGTAAAGAAAGAATCCAAAATAATGAAAACACTGAACAAAAAGAATAAAACCCTAAAAAATAAACAAAATTTTTAAAGAGCCCAGTCTAATTTCTCTTCAGAAAAATGAATCCTTAATAGAAAATGACAGTTTAAAACTTGTCACGTCTGCCTCTTTCACAGCTGAACACTCTTAATAGAAATCCTTTGTTAAAATTAGGACAGGTTCATGGTTATCTGATAAGCTTGTTATAGGCTTGCCTTAGTTTCACTGGTTTTGTTTTGTTTGAAGTGGAAGTGTGAGTTTGAGAAAAGGAGTGTTGTGAACGGCTGCACAGTTGGGTTGAATTGGTTAGGGACATTGCTCTTCCTTGGCAACCTTTAAATTGGGAAAGGAGATCCTCTAATGGAATCTTTTATTTGGAAGACCAAAACACTTCTGTCTTTCAACAACATCTTTTTTTTGATCATCTACAAAATAACTGTGAGTAAAAATGAATGCTTCTGATGCCTTTAAGATGACACAAATGTTAAAGAACCTTGTTTACTTTAGGAGCCTGTGACCAGGGCCTTTGATATCTTATCTAGTAATGTTACCAGAAAACCCAATGAAAAGTTGGTCAGACATCCAAAATGTGTGTAAACTGAAAACTTAGACACCTACGTTGAATTGAGAATTAATAGTTGTCACAGGCTGGGCCAATCTGAACTGGTTTAAGTGTTCTTAGCCTTGCCATTCCAATTCATACTTCAACTGGAAACTAATTTAAGTGTGACATTTTTTGTGAGAGAGATGTCATTGGGCGTTCACGTACGTTTAAGTGAAATGAAACAATAGCCTGATCTATATTACACAAAGTGCATCCGTTAACCCATTTGTACATCTGCAGTTTTAGGAAATGGTGGTGGCTGATCGCCCTCAGCAGAATTAAGGGAAAACTCATGTTACTTCTCTGCCTTTGAAAAGCGGGGAAAATACTGGCCTTGTTTACCTAAGAGTATGATACAATTTAGAGCAATGTATTCGCAATCCATGTCAACATTTCTGTTATATGGGAATTGGTGGGTTTGCACACGTGCCTCCTGGGATAGCTTGTCTGGCAATAGCTGTAGTGTTTGATGTGCCTGGACAGCAAGGCCAGTCACTTGGGTTTTTTTAACTATCATTGGTTTCATCTTTAGGCTACTACTAACTGTACAATTACTGTAAAGAAAATGGCTTATGCTCTGCAAGGATATGTGTGCAACTTACAGTAATGAAAGATAAGGGTTTTTTTAACTGAATTGGCCAGCTAAAACTCTCCATATGTCCAACTTAAAATAGTCTGCAGAGACAGAGCCTGAAAAAAAATTCTGTTCCTGATAAGATGTAGTCCTCCACACCCTTCCCTCTCTGTAATTTCCTTCCATTCTTCCCCCTTTACAAATCCATGCTGTAGTTTCAGATAGGTTGGTCAGCATGGTGATTGGCAAGTAGTTGGCAGGGATTAAAACCATAACCTGGCCTGCATGTTTTAGTAGATAGGTCTGAAGCCATTCTCCTGAGCCATGTTGAACAAGCTGGTGAATGTTTGTTTCAATTCCTTTTCTGTGAGTCATGAGTTACACATCCCTGCCTCATCAGATTGTTGTGAGGATGTATTTATGTGTCTTTGATGGCTTCTGATGTTACAGCAATGCAAGGTATAACAGCTATCTCATGCAATTGTGTGAAAATAATACATGATGTCTGTACCCATGAAAGTTAAAAATGGGAGATTAAACCACAGCTGCTAATTTGATAGGTTTGTTTGCACTTCAGTCAAGTAGCAGGTGCTCCTTCTCAAAGTATCTAGGCTTTTGTCTGGTGAATCTAGTAGACTACCAGGGTAGTCACACACCTTACCAGTGAAAAGTTTTGTGGTTTTCTCTTTTTTTTTTTTTTTTTTCATTTTGCTTGTGTTGCTTTAACCCCTTAATAAATGCCAAGTTATACTGACTTTGGAAAATATGTTTTATGAAATATGTGATAATTATTTTTCTAGTGTAATGATAACCACTCTAGTCAAATGGGCAGCTTTTAAAAATCTCCATAACAACGACATTCAGTAAAAAGTGAAAACAACTGATCTGTGCAGTTCCATGCCAAAGGATACATATGGGCAATGTACTATCTCTTTGAAATGTCATCTTCAGCTAAATGATGCATACTCTGCTGGCAATGCCTTCCCTTGCTTCTCTTAAGTAGCAAGGAAATGGGATCTAATTTTTGATTTGCAGTACTATTTGTTAAGAGAAATGGACTTTTAAATGCCAGTGTTTAGTGTTCCTCCATTTCTTTCTTCAGAATGTTCATATAAAACCAGGAAGGCTTGGTAGCAAGTAATTTCCTTTTTATTTCATTCCTCTCAGCACATGAAAAGCTGGTTGTGTCAGTGCAAATGCTTTCTTTTAGTTTAGCTTGAACCTGCTCTCAACTAAACTTTTTGCTTTGTTTTGTTTTAAAAGAAGTGGATCTCACTTTGTCATTATTTCTGTATCTCTAGTTCTTCTGTCTAGTTTGTGTTTTGGCTCAACAGTTGGGTATGTCCCTGACAAATTCTAGGGGTATTAGAAACAATATCTAGAATATGTGTTCTCTTGCTCCCACTCGGTGTTATCCTGGTCTCTGACAGCTGTGTTCCTGCAGTTACTCATTCCACCTGAAAGTGTGAAATGCAGAATTGCTTTGGAGCTGGAAGTGAGCAAAATGCCAGGGACTGCCTCAGAGGAGGCTTCTCTGAAATGACTGGGATGCTTCTTGCTTTTCACATGCATATTTTAGGTTTGATTTTTTCAGAGGTGCTGAATGCCTGCATTTCCTGCTGACTGATGACATCCTTTCTTCTTTCAAAATCGCACCTCTTTTCAATGCCTCTGTTCCTTAGCTTTTTTAACTGATTTTCAAAGCTGGCCCGAGGGCACCAAAACTTGAAGATTATGTTATAGACCCCTGTGGTGGGGGTAATAGTGGGAGAGTTAGCACCTCTGGATGTGTGCCCTATAGAGTTACTGTTTGTACTGAGTTTCTCAAAGAACAGCTTTGTAATTAAATCTGTGCTTTAAATTCAGCGCCAAAATAGTATTTTGAAAGGTTTGTTGTATAAGGTGTTTATTTGGGAGATGTAGTAAGTGCCTGGCAATCCTGTGTGTGGAGGTGTTTATTTTATGGTTTTAAATGTGACTCTTAAGCTTTTTCTCTTTCCCACTGAACTTTAGGAACACCTTATTTCACACTTAAGTCTACTTATTTGTGCATATTTTGCAGGAATCCCTTGAAGCTCACCCCGGGAATGGACAGCTATCTCCATTTCTGGAGGAGAGTGGTACCAATTGAAGAAGCCTTTGAGGCAAGTCGACAAGTGTGCTGATAACTCTCAGAAGAGTACAAGGAAGGGGTGACCTTCCAAGCCAACAGCCATGCCTTTCGGGCTGAAACTGCGACGGACCAGACGCTACAATGTCTTGAGCAAGAACTGCTTTGTGACAAGGATCCGTCTGCTGGACAGCAATGTGATCGAGTGCACCCTCTCCGTGGAGAGCACTGGGCAGGAGTGCTTGGAAGCTGTTGCTCAGAGGCTGGAATTACGTGAGGTAAGAGTAACCCAGGAAAGACCATCTGTCACTGTATAATTTGACACGTTTTTAGCTCAGGCAGTCTGTTCATTTGAATAGTGTTATTCTCAGAGCTGGCCAGATATGATCAGCAGCTGGAGCTTGGACAAACATAGTCTGATTGCATGAAAACTGAAGGCAGAATGGCACTCGAGGTTTTGGGCTGTTGCTCATCCATCATAGCTTTGAGAGCTCTTTGTAATACGAACATGAGGTTTCTTTTCTTAGAAAGCCATGGGTGTTACTTTCTGAACTGGGATGCCAAGGGACAAGTTACACTAACCTTTTCTGAATGTAAGCCTGATTTCACCAGCACTTATGGCTGAATTATGCCATTGGGAAGGAGACTCCCTGGCTTTAAATATCCACCTTCATATAAATATACTCTTGTTACTATAAAACTGAAATAGGCAACAGTTATGTGCAACTGGTAACAGTTTGAGGATGGTTGTTTTTCTTCCCTTTTGTTTAACTGAAATATTTTACATCTGAAACTCTGAAAGGCTTCTTTTACATTCCCAGTGCTTCTGGAAAGGCTGAAGAAACCAGTCTTACCTTAATAAAGACTGAAATCCTTATTTATCTACTTCTTGCTGTAGAGTTTAGTATTCATTTTAAGTGTTGAATCCTTTTTAGAAGTAGCTTTCCAGCGTGCATGGGACAAATGAACTGACTGACTTTTCTTATCTTCTGTGGATTCCTTGCATGTATCCTACATGCCTCTTGACTTTTTCAAATCACAGGTTGAAAACCACTGCCTGGAATTTGCTGTGTTGTCATCTGACTGTCCTGGCTGATACTTTCTGTGAGCACAACCGGTGGTGGTGTTTTACAGCCCCTTGCAGTGTCTTATGCAGTTGGTCCACAAACCTTTGTAGTAGTGGCAACTGGAAAGTAGCATGCAAATAATTATCACAGATGAAAACTAAACAAAAATTCCTTTCATACATTCATAATGATAAAGAATGAGAGAAGAATCTCACTCTGTTATGTGCAGAATAGACTGGAGAATGTGCAGGCAGAGGGAATATTGTGTAGTGATTTTTCATACTTAGGTGGCTTGGTTTTTTTAATTTGGATTTTAGTAGAATCATCTCCCCCCTTTACTTCTAAAGATGAAGATTTCTGAGTAATTTGGTTTTTTCCCTTCTTTTTTCTTTCTGTTGATGATGCTTTAGGGTGTCCTTAGAGAGAAGTTGTGTCCTTCCCTTTCCTTCCAATGCAGAAAGCAGTGAAATGAATGAAGTGATTCTCTTCATATTCCTTGTGGGCTTATCTAGTTGGTGTAGCAGGGGTGTGAGGCCTAATGATTCTCTCTGGAGGTCCACCTGCATTTGCAAACAATGACTATGTCAGCAGGTTAGGGTTCTTTTCCACAAAGCATTTTGTGATTTCAGAGTGTTTTGTTCCACTTTGTTCCGAAGCCTGAAGTTTCAAAATTTTCCAGAGAAAAGAGACTGGACAGTAGAGTAGCAAAGGAAGCTGTTTTGGTCAGTGTTCAGTTTCAAGGGAGTTTTCTATTGCTTTGGGTTTTTTTCATTTTCAAAATTATTTCTGTCATGCAAAAAGAAATATGTCAGCACAAAAAGGTTGTGTTTCAAGATAAAAAAGTATTTTAACAACACAGAAGAGAATGCTTTGATGTTGTTGGAACGGTTTCCCCTTCTTTCATCACCTTCCCTGCTTTTTTTTTCTAAACAAAGTTTTGGCAACATTGAACTAGTTTTGTAAAGTTCAGATTTCAGCAATACAGCACTTTTTGACAGAAGTGGGTTTTTTCTTTTTTTTTTTTTTTTTTTTTGTTTTTTGGTTGGTTGGTTGGTTTATTTGGGTTTTTTTTAGGAGAGAATTATTGACTTCTTTCAACTCTGAGAGGGTCTCCCTGTATCTTCTTCTGCTCCTTGCATGAGGAATAGTTGGAGCTAGCAACCTTGGAGGCGCTGGGTACTGTCCTTTCTCTCAGACCCAAAATTCAATTCTCCTTCTACACCTCTGGTCTTCCTGCCACAGTTTGTAAGGAAAGAAGGCTGATGAAGTAGTTTGGTGACTGTCTCCTTCCCTCCCTAGGCTTACCATAGCTTTTGTACTTGCTGTCCAGTCATATTCGACAGAAGGTTCAAAAATGCTGTGACAAACTTCAAATTTCTACAAGATTTGTGCAACTGCATAGCTAAGTAGAGAAATCCATTAGGTGTACTGAGGCAAAAATTCTTGCAAGCATCCACATTGGAGAAAAACTTTTTAAATTCCCTGAGTGCAGCAAAAATTTCAACTGGAATATGTCTTTTTGTAGAAATCAGCAAACTGCGATGTACAGTTAAGGATAAGCCAAGCTTCGTTACATCCCATGCTAACGAAATAATACTAAAATCCCGTTTGTCTCTTCCATGCAGTCTCAGGTAATACTTCAGTTTGGTCTTATGTTTAAATAAATCGCAGGTATACCACAACTTCTACCTTCGTGTTACGAATACATCCTTGTCTCACTCAAGCCAATTTCTTAGAAATAAATAAAAAATTGTCTAAACCCTTCCTGCTAAAAGGCAAAACTGTTTGAGATATACATTGTTGTGAAGAACTGTCGATCATACCACACATGACTGAAAAACAGTATCTAATGGATTATGCATATTTCTATTTGATCTCTGGGGAATGCAACTCCCTGCCTGACTGAGTCAGGGTTCAGGAATAGGTCAGTAGAAAGTGGAGCCATGTAACTACTGTAAAATCTGTTTTTATCCTTTTCAGCAAGGCTCTTGACAAAGCATCAGGTCTTCTAGTTGAACAGTTACCACTTCCAATAAAACGAGCTCTTGTGCCAGCATTATGTAAAAAGTAAAGATGAGGGGAGGAAGGGAAAGGATGGAAAGACAAGGTCAGAAATGTCATTTTATAATCTTGTATGTATGTGCACAGATTATAAAAGGGATTTTTTTCCAATATAATCGCATTTTTCCTTTCAAGTGAGACTAGGTGAACCTGCTTGAAATAGCAGGGTAATCTGTACAAATCTGTTGTGAGTCTTCATGTCTCCTTCTTCATTTTGTTATCCTTAACATGTTAAAATGTTTAAAGATGGTATGTTCTTTCGTATTGTAAATGAGGGAGAGGGCAAGAAGGTCCTTTCTAACCAACATTATTTTTTCGAACTAAATTTCACAGTGTTGTCTCCAGCACTATGATCCAAAGCAGGAGGATGATGAGCTCAGCATTGCAGGCAGATGCTGACCACTGTGCAGGGGTGGCCTTTTGCTGGGATTCTGACCTTTATTTTCTTGTGCCCTAGAAGGTGCCCTTTTCTTGTAGGGCATGACTGAAAACCTGGGTTTGGCAGCCAGGTTGCCTCAAAGTTTGACTTGATTTGACTTGTTTTGCCAACAAAGCTGGGATGGGGCTCAGGTCAGGCAGTGCTTGGACAAAAGACCTTCTATGAATAATTGACTGCTGTAAATGGTGCCTTCTCTGTGCAAGTGCCCTGGGATAGCAGGGCTTAATGCTTTTTGCCTGGAGGAGATGGAACTCTGTCTCTTTCTCAAGGATAAATATTTAGCTGGCCACTTAACCAGATGCTTTAATAAACACCAGGCAGTCTTAATGAATTTTTTTGAATGACATTTGGTGGTTTAGTAATTGTCTATCATCTCTGGTTGTTGACAATTCTACTAGTTTTGCCCAGTATAAAGGCAGGGGTAGTTCTGGACTTGGGAATATAGTTAAGTCCAAGTTCAAAATGAATATGATGTCTCTTGACTGGCAGCTACAATATAATTTATTTTAAGACTTCTCAGCACAGTTTTTTGTGTATCCAGTTTTCTGACTCGCTGTATTTCCAGGATCACCTTTTCATATAGTCTCATTGGGGTATAGAGGTGCTCTGGTTCTTGTCTGCTACTTTAAAAGAGAACCACAGCTCCTAGAGGAGTGTAAACCAGCTTTCCTGTACTACGTATGAGATAATATGTGGTAGGTAAGACAAATTTTAAAACCTTGAGAGCAGCCTGTGTTACTTCAGAACCTGCCAGCTGTAGGTGTAGATATTTATTCCATGAAAAGTGAAGTCAGTGTTTCCCTTTTTTTACAGATGGACAAACAGACTAGCTTTTGGAATCAACCTAGTTTTAAATCAGCCACCTATAGATTAAAGATCCCATTTTTATATCCCCTCCACTAATTTGTGAGGTGTCTGTACAACAGAAATGCTTTGTGGACTGAAGAGCGTGGCAACAGATGACTCACACTCTGTGAGGCCTTCTGGACAGCCATGTGCCTGGTCATAGCATATTGAACTTGATGGTCCAGCTGTTTCCAGTCCCACAATCCTCCATTCCTGTTTGGAGATTATTAATGTTCCTACCAGAGGGAGTATCTTCAGGCATTCAAAGTAGTGGCTGCAAAAGTCCTTCTCCACCGTGTGTTCTGAAAAAAATACTAACGTTTTCAAGAAGTAAAGTTCCTGTGACAGGAAGCTGTTGTTCAGATAACTGTGTGGGTTGTCTCTCCAAAGTGGATGCATTTGTGACTTTAGCTGTGCTCTGCAGTCAGTTCCTGTGCTTAATCTGCAATTGCTTGATCTTCTCCAGGCTGCTTTCCAGGAAAACAGTTGTCTTTTAATTGTGCAAAATACATGCTGCCATGTTTGGTCCATGATATCTGCTGTAGTCCAGAAGCTTCAACACTGCATTTCATTTACTTCTTGTTCCTTGGAATTGATTCAAGATTCTGGATTTGGTACTTGAAGAGCCTTTTTACTGTAGCAAATCTAAACTTCTGTTGTCCCCCAGCCCCCACTCAAAGGGGAGGGACTGTGCTCATTCAATCTGTTTAATTGCAATACCCTTGAATAACTCTGAGACTTCAGAGTCCAAACCTTCTTAGTTGCTAGATCTTTTACAAGTACTTGGCACTGCAAATTTGGGTCCTAGGTGATGTGGATGTTTACTTTTTAAAGTAATATGGAAGCTCTGTTTTCCCAGCTCTGCACTGTTTCTTGCTGAGGGTGAGCTGCCCTACAGTGATTTTTGAGTATTTCTGTGTTAAAGGGTTTCCCTTATGAGATGGTAAAATCACTGCTTTTTTCTGTCTTCACATTAATCCCTTTTGTTTGATGCTTCCCCTGTTCCTCCCACTTTCATTTTAATCTAATTACTATCATGGTGAGCTTGTCAGAAAAAACTTTTTATCCTCTAATGATTACAAAGGAAGAGTAGATATGTATGAGTGAACTGGTTAGTTTTAAGTTAATCCTATGAAAGATGCTGACTTCTTGATTTATTTGTGCCCTGGTAGATAGATTGATTTATTGAAGATACCTTTAATTTCTAGAAGGAAATACTACAAAGAAACAAGCTTGCTTCACTGTACCAGACTGAGCAGTGCTCAAGCTGTTTGTCAGGCTTAATTGAGGAATCAAGTTGAATTAGTTATCACCTTAGTTAAATGCTAGTCTGGACATTCTCCAAAGTGAAAAATATGTACATAATGAGACCCTAAAGTAAATACACCTGTGCTGCCATTCAGAGTTTTGCATGATTGTCTCTTGTGTGCCTTCAGCTATAAAGTAGTTGAAGCAGTGTTTCCCCTGCTGTTTTGTTGTCGTTTGTAAGCATTTAAAATTTTTGGTGTTGCATTAGTTGTCCTTATTTTGTGTGCTAAGTCACGGTGCGTGCGATGGTTTTTGTAGAAGCTTCCTTAGTAAGGTGAAACAGGCTGTCGATGGTGGATTTTGCAAAGTCTAACATTTGCAATTTGCCTGCTACTTTTGAAGACTTTTTATTTACAACTGTGAACATTTGGGAAGCCCAGTCAGTGAAATATTTATAGTTGATTTATATAGGCCAAATGTTTTGAATGTATTAAAAATAATTTCAAATGAAAACTTTATAAAACAGCAAATTAGGAATCTTTGTCTCCAGTATCTTTATTTAAAATGTGGTGCTGTGTATAAAGGATTGTGACTGCCTCTGGTAGGATTGTTGTCCAGGTAAATTAAGCTATAACAATAAAATGTTCTATTTGTTTTAAGATTAATCTGATCTAATGGAAACTACTTGAAAGTTTCATTGAACAGGGAGTCAGTTGGATTAAACACCAAGAAGAAAGTTTATTGAAATAAAATGAGAAATACACAGAAATAGTAGTGCTCCCACTTTCAGACCCTGAATCTGCTTGGTGTCCCCAAAAGTCCCTCTCATAGTTTGCTTCATTGATTCCGGTGTTAGCATGAAGTGGCGTTTTATACTGAAGATGCTGCTGGAAATCTCCAGGTGATCTCAGATGAAAAACTAAAGAAAAAGGTGTTGATGCAAACTTTACGGTTAGGTTTACAGCCATATTTCCAAGCAACTGATGGATTAATTCCTTTGCTAAATATGAACAAATTTTTTCACCTTTTCTTCAGATCTGTAGTCATAGTACTTGATGTTTTTAAGGGCTTTTCAATAAAATCCCTTGTGATGGATTGGCTATTCCTTCTGCTGCTTATTGCTAATTTATAGTATTTGAAGATCTAGTTTTGAATGCTGTTCCAGTGAACCTTCAACTGTGCAATAGGTAATTACCCTTCACCAGCAGCAGTCCCATGGAGCTTATAGAGTAGGTACTATAGCCATTGAGATTTACACTGGATAGGAAACGGGAGGTTTTTCTGGTATTTCTGTAGAGCCTAGAGCAAACAACTTGTGTGATATGCACATTTTAAGTGTATATTTGTCCATCATAAAATTTCGTGAGTGTATTTAAAAAAAAAAAGGAGCAAACATGTTCTGCATTGGGTAAATGGTTCTGGTATTGGTAGATATATTTTGACTTATGCATGTGGGTTTGCATTCTTTTTGTTTTATAGCTGGAAGAGTCCTTGTCCTTTGTGTGCAGTGGGCCTCATCCAAAGTCACATGAAGCCTTTGTGCTTTAATTCAGACTTAGTGTTTGCTGTCTGTTTGCAAGGCACTGGTGTCTTTTAAGAAAACAAAGACTCAGACACCTTCTGTGAATCATTTATATCACCTGTGCCTTAATGTCAGGTAGAGCTCTTCAATGTGCATTGGAAGAGATGGTAGGGGGCAGATAGTACTCCATGAAGTATATTATATTGCAATATTAATTTGTCATTGTCTTCTAAATTGTCCTACAAAAAAGGACAGTAAGAAAGAAATTACTCTGGTTTTGCATATGGAAAAAGGTACACACTGCCATCTGTTCTTATTTGCATTTGTGTCATTGTGTGTGTGCATGTGATCTAGCTGGAAAAAGTAAACTGACACTATTTTGTTTGTTTATCTAGACTCACTACTTCGGCCTTTGGTTTCTCAGCAAGAACCAGCAAGATCGCTGGGTTGAACTGGAAAAGCCTCTGAAGAAGCAGCTGGACAAATTTGCCAATGAGCCCTTGCTTTTCTTTGGGGTAATGTTCTATGTGCCCAGTGTTTCCCGGCTGCAGCAGGAGGTAACAAGGTACGTGGTTTCCCTCAGTTCACACTATCATGATAGAGCTGGGAGGGAATGGACAGTTGCTCTGTTTCTGGCATTCAGTATTTGCTCAGGTATCATCCAGTTATTTCCTCTCCTGCTGATTGCCCAACTGGGGAAAATAATGAGAGAAATCACCACTTAATTATGCCTGCTTGAGGGGAAAAAAAAGCACTGTATCGGTGAATGATTATGCACGACCAAGTGCAGGGAAAAAAAAGGGAGTAATAGTTATGTTTAGAACGTTTAAAAACCTGACATAAATTTTAAAAGGGACCATGGTGACCATACTTTTTTTTCCATAATCCTCTATTGATGAAAAGGAAGCCATAGGCAAAGGACCTCTATATAGAGTTTTAGTTTAGTATTCTTAAGTCTACCTGTGTTTGCTGAAAGTGAACTTTGGCATCTTTTTGTGGGTTTTGCCCATTCCACTCCTCATTTTTCCCCTTATGCTTCACAAAAAGATTAAAACTGGTGGAGGGCATTAATCTTTAATTATGATCAGGGCATACTTTTGCAAACAACTTCAGTGGGAATTACTGTTTTATTGAGAGCCCTGTGCTGCAGTTGTAACAATACAACTGTTTTGAGGGGCTATTTTTGTAAACCACATCACTGTGTGGTTTTTGCACATCTGTGCTATATTTAAATTAATTCAAAGAAAAAAAAAAGAGAGAGTAAGGAAACAAAAGCCCACCTCACCCAAAAAGGAGTGGGCTTGTTTTCTTTTAACCAAAATTATTTCATTTATCTGGTCTAGAGGAAAGTTGCATCTGCAAAACTAGAGGTAAAACCTAGAATAAGTGGATGAAGGCTACAGGGTGGCAGAAACCTCCCCACTGAAAAAAATGTTCTGTTGGTGCAAACCTGAAATTCACCACATGGTCATAATGTCTAAAAAAAGGTGTATAAATATTGGAAGAAAAGTGGCTTTAATTCTAGAAGGTGTGCAAGAAGTTTTATATCACAGACTGTGTATTTTAAAGGATTTTTACTTGACACTGAACTGGAAAATTGACTTTGGTAAGATTTGTTTCTTAAAATGGCAGCTGTCAAGCCATCCCTTGACTAATGTATGTGCTGATTTCTTGCCAAACAGTGGGATAAAAGCATCATAAAGCTTCAATTTCTCTGAGAATAGACCAAACATTAATGCTTGTCTGTATCTGTATCTTTTTGTTGTGTATGCACTGGGAGAGGGAAGCCTCATGTTCTTTTCCTTCAGAATTATTTAATGTGCAGACAGAATGCCTGAAATGTTCTGTTGCTCATATTGTCAGCCCAGTCCTGGCCTAGTTGTGTGTAAGGAAGCATTGTAGCTACTTAGATGCTATTATCTCTTCAAGCTGCAGCCTGCAGTGCTGATTGCTCATTCATAGCTCACCTGCAGGGGTATATTTGCTCATTCTGCCCGGGTTGGTAATAACAAAACATTTCAGTGACAATTGAACTTCACAGCGCTCTCAACTGGAGTGGCTGCTGAATTGTTTTTCTTTCTGAAGTGATTGATAACATAAGCTGCAGAGTCTTATAAGTGGCTCTTATGTCTCTTTAAATGTCTGTAGCAAAGCCCGCAGTTTACTAGTGGATTTCAAATACAGAACAGCCTGTTAAGGTCTGTTTGTTTATTCCGTGAAGTGGAATTGCTGCACTGTAGATGGTGTGATGGCAGTGAACCTTCAACTGTGCAATAGGTAGATTCATATTTGAAGCAACGAAAGGTGAGGACACGGAGGACTCTTCTGAAACAAATGGCAGAGAAAGGCTTAGTCTAAGCATGATGAGGTGGACAGATGGATGGGGGCTCATAGGGCTTTTTTTGGCTTTGTTTGCTCTTGGTAAACTGATTAAACAGTTGTTTTTAATTTGATAGTGGCTGCTTTTAGGATTAGGCTTGATCATGATATGATTACATGTAATGTTGAGGTAGGCACTATGTGCCTATGTATTTGACTTATGTTTAGGAACAAACGACAAATCTGTCTTAAATGCAAAACTTGTGATGAGACGCTTCATCTCCTTCTGGGAAGCTACAGAACCATTGCAAAACAACCCCAAAACAAAACCGTCACCGAAGGCTGAAGCTGCAAAGCTGGTGACAGTACTGCTACTGGTGAACCTTTGTAACCTTCTCTAGTGGAAACATCTCCAGCCCTGAGCTTGCCTGGCCATGTTTGGAGCTTGAAGTGAAACCAAATCTCTCAGCCAAAGCTTTTAGTTAATTGTAGACTCCAGAATTTCTGAGGTTGATTAATATTCCTTGAACATGATGAAAAGTCTTCTGAGAATGCTTATGCATTATGTCAGTGTTCATGGAAACATTCAAAAACCTGGGACTTGGTTTCCTGAGCTGGTTTACTCTGCCTCTGATCTAGATTGAGACTGACAGCTGGTTTTGATGGATTTGTTGCTGAATTGAATATTCCTTCCTGTTTCCAGTGACTGCAACCTCCTGATGCACTGTCATCGCAAAAAGGGAAAATAATCCGAGGCTTTTGGGTTTTGATGATTGAGAGAAGTGTTACTTAGGGTGTCAGTCAGTGGCTCTGAGGTAGTGTTCCTTAATCATTTCTATCTGAAAGACCATCTCACTCTTCAAGACAATCTGTGGACCATTTTATGTTCTGCTATTGTTTGGTGATTGGGACCAACAGGAAGAATCCCAGTACAAATAAGACAATATTTATAAAAGCGTAACTCCTCTACATTTGATCATTACCACTGGAAGTATAAAATGCTAATTATACCTGCAGGCCACTGGACTTTAGCTGCCTGCAGGTGATGGTAGTGGTCAGGAGCTCCTCGTGGTTTTGCTGGTAACTTCCTGTATTGCACAAGCGAAGTCTGGATGCAGAAATAAGAGTGAGTAATAACACTGCTCCAAGCATTATGTCCCCCAGTGTGCGGAACAGACTCTGTGGAAACCTGTGTGCATGTGACATGCTGGGAGAGGAGTGGAATAGTAATGTAGAAAGAAGTCAGTGCTGTCCCTCGCAGGAGTGGGAGTGTCTGTTGACTTGCTGAAGCAGAACATGAGTAGCAGTTACAGAATGGCTGAGGTTAGTAGGTGCCTCTGGAGATTGTCTGCTCAGAGGAAGATCAGCTAGAGGAGATTGCACTAGGACTCTGTCCCATTGGATATTGAATATATTCATGGAGGGAGAGACTCCACACCCTCTCCAGAAAATCTGTTCCATTGTTCAGTCACCCTTGCAATAAAGGAGGGGGTTTGTGCTTAGAAAGAAAGTATTTCTTATATTTCGGTTTGTACCCAAATAACCTCATAATTTCAAGTTGTGGATGGGTGCTGAGTGACTGAGTAAGTGAATGGGTTGCCTGGGCTGGCCATGTAACTGGTTACTGAGGACCTGTAGAGCTGTAGGCACCTGTCATATGAACACAAGTACTGCCATATCTTAATGTGAGGTGCCTGTAGTTAATTTGTAATAGATATTTTTGATAATATAAGAAAGAAGGGCCTGTAGGATCCTTGGGAAAGACAATGAAAAGACTATCAGAGCAGTTTATTCAGCTCTTAAGCTCTTTGAAGCCAATCTCTGAGGCCTGGAAGAAAAAAGGAGGCAAAGAGTACTCTGGGGGACATGTTAATGATTTTAGTAGATCAGATCTGACTCTAGCTTACAGTTCTTCCCTTCTTTTTTTATAAAACTGACACTTGCTTAAAGATGCAAACATTAGCTGTGTGGCTGTTTTTTCCTGTTTGGGCAAAGTGAATCATTGGGACACGGTAAGAAGCACCATCAGGACATTGTCAGTCTTGTTCTGTTCATGGTTCGTGGGAATGGCAAGGCTTCTCAGGGCAGCCATGTTTCTTGAGCTGTCCTAGGGAAACTTAGAGAAAGCTGACACCGGTTATAGAGTACCTGTCTTTTCTTTCTGGTAATGACCATGACATAAATAATATTTCTATACCTTACTTTCAGTGTAATAGCACTGTACTCTCGGCATTAGGCCTTCTCCTAGGAAAGCTAATTCCTACCCTCTAGACCTCTTTCTACCCTGTTTCTTTTCTCTTGAGTTGAGACTCCCATCTGTGTATATTCCCTGATCTTAATCCTGTCTCCTCCAAGATCTAAGTGATTCCAGCATCTTCTTGACTGCTGGTCATGGCATTTTACTGGCGCCCAGTCCCACAGATGTTTTCCATTTCCACAGATTATTTAAAACCCCATGATAATTTCTTAAGGTGTCAGTAGGAGTTTCACCATATTTTTATTGCTATAATTTGAACATTTTTAGAAGAATTTGTGATAAACCAAATTAAAAACCAAAACAAACAAAAACCAAAAAACTCCCCTCTTCAGACTCAATGGCAGCTACATCAGGAGTAATTTGGGTGGGAGTATGGGGATTGGCACATTAGCAAAAGGCATTTTTCATGGAAGGCTACTTAGACAACCTCTTTTTAGTCATCCAGCTGTTCTCAGTGAGCAGCCATCGCAGGTGGAGATGCTGTGCAGGTTTTTGGCATATTTAAAGCACCTGGGATCTGCATACTGTCTGATATAAAGCGGTCTTTGTGATGCCCTGTAGAGTAGATATTTGCATAGATTAGACATATAAATCTGCCTTTTATTTTCTGCTAACTCCTCTGAGAGGAGGCATCCTTTCAACCATTTATTTAAAAAAAAAAGTCTTTGTACAGTGTCTAAAGTAAACAAGCTTGCTTTCACTGTGCTCTAGTTCCAAAAACAGAGAACCCACACACTCTTGTGGCTTTCTGAAAATGTGGGTGCGATGCTGCTTTCTGCACAACTATCAGACAATCCCTGGCCTTTTTCTTTCCCTCCACTCCTTTACCACAGTTCTAAGGGAAAACTGAAGTCACATTTTGCTCTCCACAGTACCTGTGTCTTAGCACATTATACTGCTGTGCCTCCTGTGAAGGAATGAAGGTGTGCTTTCATTCATTTTTCTTTTTTCTTTCCTGTAAGAAGTTTTCAGTATCTTACTATGTGCTT